CATGCTTAAGCTATCTAAATGTTAAATTATGTCTCAAATTTGAGCCCATAACACGAACACGCGCAAGTCCGGCCGAATGAACAAAGTCCAAGTTGGACTTTTGTGAGCTCTTCGATTTTGTTCCCTCATTAAACCTATCTCCATGCGTAGAAGGAAGAAGTCAAAGAAAGCTGCACGCGGAGTCGGAGAAGATTGATTTGCTTCAGCCGAAAAAGAGGGCCCCCACAATCTAATCTTTGCATTAAATAAAGGGACCCACAAACTGGTGCACATAAATGAAGAAGACTAGGTCTCACATGGAAGCTCCTCATTTCAGCCGCAAGTGGAATTGAAGCATGTGACTTTGTCGTTTGTCTGCATCCCAAATAAATGAACAATAGACCTCACCACAAAAAGGAGCCGAAGCGCCCACAATGCGTCTCCACAGCATATGACGAAGGACTTTACAGATATATTTATTATTTTAAAGTATCGATATCCGCATATCCTGCGTTCATGCACTCTCAATTTTCACTATATTTTTATCTTCATTAGGGAGAGGGAATACCCTTTAGGTACTTTACACCCTTGGGTACTCCGAGATCTGAGTGAGGCTTAGGATGAAGCTTCTCCACAGCATATGACGAAGGGCTCTACTGATATATTTATTATTTTAAAGTATCAATATCTACATGTCCTGCATCCATGCACTCTCAATTCCCACCATATCTTTATCTTCACCGGTGAGAGGGAATACTCTCTAGGTACTTTACACTCTTGGGTACTCCGCGGTATGAGGGAGACCTAGGATGAAGCTTTTAACGTCATCCTTAGAATGTAAACCTCAATATATATATATATATATATATATATATATATATATATATATATATATGAGTGAAATGAGAGGTGTTAGCCATAAGAAGAGCTCTCCTTTATACATATTCGTAGAGCTCTCTAGATGCGGGGAGATTTGTGCATAGAATTGAGACCGTCGAGTTGAGTTATTAAACATTATGGGTATTGGTATTAACTACAACTGGGAAATATTAGAGTGTTTGAGTGATTTGTAACACTGTAATTTTCCGATTTATTAGTGGATTATTTGCTAGCTCCTCCCGTGGACGTAGGTTTTGACATTAGGACAGAATCGCGTAAATTTCTTGTTTCCTTTTATTGTTCCTCTTTTTATTTCTCTGTCGATTTCTATAGCTCCCGATTATGTTGCAAAGTTATGATCCGCTTTCGCTGCGTTACCAATAACAACACTGAAGACGTCAACAGAATAAGATTTTCTCTATCACAAGACACTGAAGGGACTTGGTGTGCTATGCCTGAAAGACTTCAAGAAATAATTACCAAATCATTCAGTGATTTGTTCTCGATATAGGGTTATAGAAACTTTGATGCGATAAGAGATCAATGCCCTCAGGTGGTATCAATTGAGAGAAACGCTGAATTCATTAGACCTCTGTTGATGGAAGAGATCTGATATTTGGGATTGGAGCGACAAAAGCACCGATGGAATGAATGGATTGTTCTACCAAAGAAATCGGGTGACGAGTTATTTTCATATTGGCAGTTTGATATCTAAGATTGAACGAAACCCATATTACATTAGTTGTCATAGTGCCACCATGGAATGTATAACTCAATATCGCCAAATTAGCCTCTGCAATTTTGCTTTTAAAGTGATAGCAGAAGTATTAGCTGACCGATTAAAAAACATTAATGCCTCAATTGATTTCTCTGGTGTAAGGCGCCTTTGTTCCGAGGCGTGAAAGTCAAAATAATTTTTTGTTGTGCATGGAGTGTTGCACCATTTACAAAGAAGGTGAAGGAAGATGAAATTTATTGCTGTGCTCAAATTAGACATAAGGCCTATGGTCGGGTGGAGTCGGACTTTGTAAGGGCTTATTGGATGAAGCTAGGATTCTGCTCTATATGGTTCTATTGGATCACGCATTGCATGACCGATTCTGGTGTTCCTTTCAACATCGAGTTAAATGGCGAAGTACTCCCGTATTTCGTACGTTGCGAGGTTCATGACAAGAAGATCCATTCTCTACTCATCTGTTTATCCTAGTTGCAAAATCCCTATCAATCTTAATCATAGGTTGGCTCAAAGGTATAAGATTGACCTCGGAATGCCCTATTTTGTCCCACTTATTGTTTGCTGATGACCTGATCTTCTTCCTCGAGAGGTCTATCAGAGAACGTTAGGAGCTGTTGAACATTTTGAATCAATATTGTTATGCATATGTGCAAGCGGCTAACAAATTTGGGGTTCCCTTGAGTAAGGCTTGTCCAGAGTCATCTGATAGACGTTGCAGAAACTCTCAAGAGTCTCGCTTTTACAAGGTGTATGACGATATTTAGGAGTGCCATCCCATATTAAGCTGTGTTTTGTTTCAAAATACCAATATCTGTCTATGGAATGATTGAAAAGAAGATTGCGAACTACTGGTGGTCCTCTGCAGAAGGCATCAATGGAGTCCATTGGAGAAGCTAGAAAGTTATGATGCTATCTCTGGGCATTTTCCTGAACACGTTGCCGACAAGATTTTGGCAATTCCTTTAAGTTCGAATGCAATTGAAGATAGCCAAATTTGGCCCTTGAATCGAATTGGAAGATCCGACGTGAAAAATGGGGAAAATGACATAAATGATTAATTAACTTTGGCCTAACGTGCAATATCATTCTTAAATTTTTAATTATTCAATGTGGTCCTTTAACTTTAGTTTAATGTACAATATCGTCATTTAATTTTTAATTTGCTCAATATGATCCTATTTTTTTTTATAAATGTTCAATCTAGTCCCTAAAGTTTATGAAAACATCCAATTTTATCCTTCAATTAATTCAAGTTCACGGAATTTACTGATTTGGCCTTTAATCCGGTATGTTTGAATTGTAAAAAAAAAACGTTACATGTGATTATTTACGTAAGATAATCAACTTAAATTATAATATAATAATCTTTTTAATTTGTTCAATTTGATGGCATGGATTTTTATATCTTGATTGGAGTTGAATATCTTATGTTGAAAATTCATGTGTAACTTTATTTTTTTGTCCACCATTTGAATTTGTCGGATTGAAAATCAAATGAGCAAATTCCGTTAACTTGAATTAATGGAAGGAAAAAATTAGATGTTTTTGTATAATATATGGATTAGATTGGAAACTAAATGAGAAAATTCCGTTAACTTGAATTAATGAAAGGATGAAATTGGATGTTTTTGTATAATATATGGATTAGATTGAACATTTATCAAAAGTTAGGGACCGCATTGAACAAGTTAAAAGTTCAGGGATGACATTACATATTGGGCTAAAGTTCATAGACTATTTGTGCCATTTTTCCTAAAAGAAGGCTATGGATCAAGAACTTATGAAGTGTTTTATGGGGCAACTCAAGACATAACCAACGGTTAAGTTTTTCCTACAAACTCTATTTTAGAATTAATCGCCAACGAAAGAGATTTACTATTGAAAGATGTTGCCAACCTGCATTTTTACATTTAGTCGATGAAAGCTAAGAGTATCATTAAAATAAAAAAAAAGGAAGCTCTTCCAAACTTGTAAAATCTTGTGTTAATGCTAATGTCCCCCATTTCCTGTTTATTATACATTCACAGATTTTGTGAGATAAAAGAAGATTTTGATGTATGTCGAATATCACCATGAATGTTATGAGTGAGCAAGAACAATTTACTTAGTTTTAGAGAGAGAGAGATTCGACATGATCCATGTAGTGCTAGATTCGAGCACAGCAAAGAGATAGACAGTGTGTGTGCGCTTGCGACGGGCGAAGGTGACTGCGACGATGCTGGGATCACAGACACCGGTGGTGGCATTGCTGAGGCTGCGACTACAGCTTCCAAGTGTTCCACCAACGTTGCTTCCTCTCTCTCCCTGTCTCATTTTCCCTTGGCCTATTCTTTTCTATTTCTCCATATCCCCGTTTTTTTATTTTGAAAAAAACAATAAGTTTTGGGGAAAATTCCAAAAAAAATCTGAAGTAAAGTCATTTTTTCAAATAAGGACATGAAGTGGACATTGTCTCAAATAAGGGCCTGAAGTAAATCTTATCTCAAATAAGGACTTAAAGTGGTCATATCAATATCAAATAAGGACCTAACATTACCGACCAAAGGGTATTTTCGTCTTTTACTTTTTAAAAAAAAGATTTCTTTTTTTTTGCCTTTTTCTATTTTTTCCTCTCTTCCCTTCGTTGGCCATCACCGGGGCCGGCCAAGGCTGCACTCGCCGGTGACGAGCAAGGGCGAGGCCAGCCCAAGCGAGATGACCCTTGTCCGATGCCGGCGAGGGCCACCCTCGCTCTCGCCGGATCTGGCGAGGGTAATCCTCGCCTCGCCCTCGCCCTCACCCGATGCTTGCAAGGGCAACCCTCACCGGTTCTGGCAAGGGTCCCCTTCGCCCGCCCGGCCTAGGCGAGGCAACCCTCGCCCGACACCAACGAGGGTGGTCTCCCCTGAGGCCGACGGAGGTCGCCGGCCAGGTGTAGTGAAGGTTGGGAGGGAAGAAGGAAACAAAAAGGAAAAGAAAAAATAGTAAGAAAAAAAAACAAAAAAATATACTTATAATGTTTTTAACTAAAATACCTCTTCTCCGGCCGGTAACTATTCCGTTGCCGGAGAAAAGGTATTTTAGTAAAAAACATTCATGTTTTCGTGACTAAAATACCTCTTCTCCGGCAACGAAATAGTTACCGACCGGTCAAAGGTCCTTTTTTGAGACGATTTGATCACTTCAAATCTTTATTTGATATAATATTCACTACGGTTTGATCACTTCAAACTTTTATTTGATATAATATTCACTTCATGTTCTTATTTGAGAAAATGACTCTATTTCGAGTACCTTTTTTGAATTTTCCCCAAGTTTTGTTCTATGATATTTTTTCGAGAGCTTATTTCCACGTCGGACGTCACCTGGATGTCAGCGAGCGGGGACCACGGACCAACTTGAACAAATGAGAGAGACCGGCTATATGTAGATCGAGGATTCGATTACAAAGATTTGACTCTGCCAAAAACAAGAGGCGATCAGGGGAAGTACTCAGCAGATGCAGCAGCAGCGATGGGCGGAGACGTCGCCTCGGGTAGCAGCGACTCCTACTGCGATGTGTTCCTGAGTTTCGGCGGACTCGGCACTCCCTCTGTATTCGTCGACTTACTGTACCAGAGCTTGGTTGATGCCGGAATCTCCGTCTTCAGAGACGAAGAAGAACTTCGAAAAGGTGAAGAAATTGGCCAGCAGATTTGGAGAGAGCTCGAAAAACTTCGATCGAGTGCGCCAGGATCTGCATCGATCGTTGTAGACTTTGACCGGGAGAGTCTGGTCGAAGAACATCGATCCGGTGAAGATTTTGGCCAGGGGATTCTGAGAGCGATCGACAGCGCCAAGATCTGGATCCCCATCTTCTCCAGAAACTACGCTTCCAGCAATCGGTGTCTCCGGGAGCTCGCGGCAATGGTGCAGCGCGAGGCGAAATCGGGTGGTGGGAAGACGATCATCCCCATATTCTACGACGTGGAACCTGCTGATGTTAGGCTTGAAACCCCTCTGTACCGCGATGCCCTATGGGTGCACATGAATAGATACATGCCCGAGGAAGTAAGCGCGTGGGAAGATGCTCTTAAACTGGTTGCTTCATTACCTGGATGGGAAACGGGATCTAGCAGGTAAAAAGGCCCAGACTTTGTTACAGGATGGTTTGCAACTCATACATGGTTTTCTAGGATAGCAATGCTGAACTCCAAATAGTACAAACCGATTGCTTCGTTTCTGATGTTACGCTTTAAGTAGAAATAAACTTCAAATAGTTGTTCCGCAGTTCAACAGGAGTGGTTATTGCTTTGTCAGATAGTATCAGCACAAATGTTAAACTCGCGCCCTTTCCTTTTCTAACTGAGACAGTTCACTTCTGTTGCAGGCCGTCTCACATTATCAGCCAAGCCGTTCAAATAATCGTGGTCAAGCTGGAGGTAGACCGTGTGCATGTGAATAAACTCATATAGAGCTGTCATTTCTAATTGTCAGTAGTTGATCACAGAAGCTGCTTGAGTATATTTTCTTGGTAGAGTGTTCACCTTAAGTATGAGATGTAAGACTATACATGCTAGTCATATATATAGGAGTATGCCTGGCATGGCAAACAACCTTACCTTAGAGGTGCAGTTATGGAAGTAATCGGTCATGATTTTTGATGATTTTTGTATCTCTAGAGAGAGCGGGATAATATTGTAAATGGAGTATTATCATGCGAAGGTTGATTACGCTCCATTTAATGCTATAACCTCACTTGTTAAACAGTCTTAAGTGTTGTATCGACATAAATGGGATCATTTACTAGGATATGACTGGTGGATTTCTGTGTTGTTTCTGAAGTGCAGCAAGATATAAAAGGAAAATTAAATCCAATTGTTACACTTTTTCATTTCCCGCAGCAGCTTTCTTGTTCACAATTTATTTGCTCGCGTAGGAGGTTCGAAAGAAAGATGAAGCAAAAGAACCAGTGGTACTTATTGGCAGCCCTGTGGGAATTGACAAACAAGTGGAGGACATGATGGACTTACTTGATTTAGAAGTCAGTGATGTGCGAATAGTTGGAATCTGGGGGAAGGGTGGGGTTGGCAAGACGACTCTTGCCAAGGTTATTTATGAGCAAATTTCGTCTCAGTTCGACAGTTGTAGTTTCCTTGCAGATATTGGGGCAACGGCGAAACAACTTGGAGGTGTTCGGCTTTTGCAAAGCAAGTTGATGTCTGATGTCCTAAACCGAGAATACGAAGTTGATCAAGTTGCGAAAGGAGTCGATTTTTTTAAAGGAATATTACGGAATATGAAGGTCCTAATTGTTCTGGATGATGTGGAGGTACGGTCGCATCTCCACGAAATTGTTGGAGAGAAGCTTGATTGGTTTGGTTATGGATCCAGGATAATTGTCACCACTAGTTTCAAATCTGTTCTTCCAGAATTCATACCTCGAGGGTTGGCTCATGTTTACAGTATCAACATGATGAATAATGATCAAGCTCTTGAGCTTTTCAGAAAGCATGCACTGCGAAAAAATCTTCCAATTCCAGATTTTGATGAAATTGCAAAAGGTATAATCAACTCTGTGAATGGGATCCCATTACTTGTTGACGTAATTGGTTCACTCTGGTACGGAAAAAGAAGAGAAGAACGGGCTGCACTTGGGAAGCTAATTTTGCAATTTGGCGTGGATATTGAAAAGATTTTGATGGTTAGTTATGAAGAATTGAGCAAAGAGCAGAGAGAGATATTTCTTGATATTGCATGCCTCCCTGCTGATGTGGATTATCGAATTGCTTCATTTATGTGGCATAATCCCAATTTTCCCCCCTCCGATGGAGTTGCTGCACTCCATTTCATGTCCCTGGTAAAAATTGGAAAAAATCATGAACTAGGGATGCACAGGCTGTTAAGGGAGTTCGGCCAACAAATCATACGAAAAGAGGATGATCGAGATCCAGGAACTCGAGGCAGGTTGTGCAATTTGGAAATGGCCTGGAATGCAGAGAAGATGGAGGTACAGTATCTTGCGCAATTCTATAGCGGAATGCGTGCCTTACCCTGTTCTCGAGCCTTGGAGTGTTGAGAAATTGTCCTTTCTCTTTAATGTTGACTTCTTTAGCTCTTTCTCATTTTTTCTCCACATGATATTTTTCCATTATAGGGGACAGACCACCTCAAATTTTTTGCAGAAGATTTTAAGAGCATGCCAAACATAAGGTTTCTTATCTTGGATTGTGCAAAAGTTGTTGGTGATTTTGCCAATGTTTTTCCAAATTTGAAGTGGCTCCAGTGGCAAGGATGCACCAGAGATTTTGAAGCTACTAATTTTCATGTCAAGAAATTGGTCATTCTTGATCTTTCATGGAGCAAAGTCACTGAAGACTGGGGAGGTTGGAGAAATATCGAGGTAGATTAAGCTTTGTTTATTTCATTAAACCGTTTCCCTGATGAATAAGTTTTCACCAGAAAGCTTTTTATGAAGACTGATTTAAGACGTGACACTTTCCAGCATATGGCATGTACAGAACTGAATGTTACTCTTGAAATACTTAAGGAAATAGTTGGTTGCCTGCCAACAACAATTAGAGGGTGTGTGGACGATGGTTTGTGGAATCTTAGGTTGAGTGAGTGAAGGGGGATGATTTTCTGGTTGTCAAAAGGGTAAGTCATTCTTCAGAATCTAGATAAGCATCATCTTTGACCTTGAAATCATTTTCCATCAGAAATCTTCCTGAACTATGCCAGGATTGTAAGATTGGTAAACGTATTTTCAAAAATTGTTTTCCTTCGAAACAAACAGAGCCCTAGACTTAATTTGCTCTAAAGATTTGTTCAGTGTCCGAATTAATGTTTCTATGTTATTTTTGCAGATGCCACAGTTGAAAGTCTTGAATCTTACTGGTTGTGCTGACCTATTGATAAGCCCCGACTTGTCCTCTTTCCCAGACTTGGAGATATTGATTCTCGAACGATGTTCTCAACTAATGAAGTTAGATCCTTCCATACGTCATCTAAAACGCTTAACTTCCTTAAATTTGAGATTCTGCAATGAACTCAATATGTTGCCAATCAAACTGGGTGACATGGAAGCTCTTAAGGAGCTCCTTATTGATGGGACTTCGGTACAAGAAATTCCTGTGTCAATGGGTTACATGGAGAAACTGGAGATTTTTAGTGCCTCCAACTGTCTCCAGTTAAGTCACCTGCCTGATTCAGTTCGTGGCTTGACAGCTCTTTCAGTACTCTCACTGGAAAATGCAAAAATTACTCGAATCCCTGACTCAGTTGAAAAGCTGGTGAAACTTCGGATCCTGTCTCTAAAGGATTGTCGTTGGATAGGAAGACTTCCGGATTCAATTTGCAATTTGGGAAACTCATTAGAGGAGTTGGATATAACAGGGACAGGCATATCTAAATTGCCCAATTCAATTACTCGCTTGGGGCGTTTAAAAGTGCTAAAAATGGATTCTTGCTTCATTAGGGAATTGCCTAGAGAAATTGGCAATTTTGCCAATCTTGAAGAATTACATGCTTCCCATTGTAGGAGTTTGAAGGGAGCCATTCCAACTGCTATTAAGAGTCTAGATCGTCTGAGAATACTGAGATTGGGACATTCCAGTATTTCTGGCATTCCTTCGGAAATTGGAAGTCTTTCTTGTCTTCAGACTCTTGATTTACTTCAATGCAACAAGATTCAAGCGCTGCCAGAGCTTCCCTCCAGTTTAACTTGTCTACGTGTAAGTTCTGAGTGGATGAAGGCATTGCCAGATCTTAAGGATTTAGTAAAGTTGGAGGAGATGTGTCTGGGTGATAAAGATCCGAAGAAGCTCATATGTCCCTCGACACGGATGAAGCCAAAATCCAGATCGAGAGATCTCTTAGTTGTGCGCATAGTACTTCCAAAACTGAAGATGTTAGAGTTGTCTCATTCTCGAATCGGGGAACTGAAACTTAGGCATGATTCCCTCTCATGTACACATCTTAAGAAGCTAGTTCTATCTGGTGTAAATCTTGAAGTAGTGCCGGAACTTCCCTCGTCATTGTCCGTTTTATCTATTCGATGTTGTTCGTCTTTGAGACAATTGCCAGCAGTTCACCATCTGAGGAAACTATCGGAACTAAATCTCATCCAATCTGCAGTAGAAGAGATTAAGGGGCTTCAAGGACTAATTACTCTGGAAATCTTATATGTAGCACACTGTGAAATACGTAATCTTGATGGGCTTGGCCAATTAAGAGCTTTGCGAAGTTTGATATTGTCAGACTGTGATTCACTTGGTAGATTTCCTGATATATCAAACTTGAAGATGTTGAATGTCCTAGTAGTCCAAAGATGCAGGATGATCCCTGATGTTGAAGGCCTCATGGAGTAAACCTCCTTGGAAGTGCTGCATGTTAGTGAATGCGAGGCAAAAAGCACGCAGCAACTAAGAAGTGCATATAGTACCCAAATTTACAACTCATTTGACTGTAAGAAGTGCACCTCTTTTGCTCAAGCTCAGTGAGTAGTTAAGAGAAGCACCTATTTTCCGATGTTCTTTTACACATCACCTGTGGAGAAAGACTTATGAGCCTTGTATGTTTCATACAGACTCTTCTTCATGACATGATGTTTCTTGGGTTCAGAATAATCTGAGAGGCAACACTATACAGATTTTAGTCTTTAAACTAGCCCAGGGTGCATGAGTTTATTACAGCTGGGGAACTCGAAATCATCAGTTCCATTGTCCTGGGACTCACATTTGTATCGAGAACATTTCAATTGTTTTCTTGCTGATGTAATGTGTATGACACCCCAGATGACATGGATGCCCCTCTACTCAAATGAAAGCATCCTCACAATAACTACCAAGAGGGACATTTATCTCAAAACAGATGGCACAGAGGGCAAGCTGGTTAGAAAGGATCCAGTAATGATTGTAAGTGGTTATTGATTTCGGCTTCTTATTTAATCTTGGTTTAAGATCATAAATAGGTTGGTTTTAGGTAACGTTTGTTCAGCTTGAGCTTTATGAGTTGGTATTGGACATCACTGCACAGTTTTGTTGATCCTAGGTCTGCTTCTCCCCTTTAACCTAATATGGCTTATCCCAATCCAATAATTTCTGAGTGCCCGCTGTTTTTGGCAGAATCTTTTGTAATTTGACTCCGTGAGTAAATATGAGTGGAGAGAGTGAATGGAGAGCAGGGAATTCTAGTATATTCTCGTTCAGAGCGGGAAGCGTGCATTGAGCCTGGCGGGAAAGGTGTTCTATGAAACGAAGAGCTCGCTGGGTTAAGTTTGGCTTACGGCTACAGGGAATTCAGAACAGATGTAAACTGAACAAAAGTTGGTGAATCGAAGATCTCATTGGTTTGTGCCGGGGGACAAGAATAAATATGTTATCAGCAACAGCTTCTCGCCTGTTATTAGGGAAGAAGCTTCAGCATTATGTAGCAGCCGAGGAGCACCTGGGGGAACTGGCGTTTTATGTAAATGGTTTATGTAATACCATATGGAGATGGAACTTTCGGGTAGGTTTTCACTGGCCAGTGGGCAGGGAGGGAGGGAGGGAGAGCAATTATAAACAATTATAATTAATTTAAAATTCTTCGCTTCGGGTTACACATCGAAATTAGACTATGGCTAATTTAATGAAAAATTTGGTCCTTGAGGTTCCTCCCAAGCTTTCAAAGTATAGTAGAAATACACAAATCTTGGATATCTTAGACAAATATGGTATACCATTTCAAAGTGGGTTAATATTACGAAAAATTTTAAACCGGTACACTTATGACAATTTTATCTCGAATTATTTTTTTGATTACAAAAAATCTCAAATTGATATACCTGTGATAAATTTATTTCGAATTATTTTTGTGTTTGCTTCAAGCAACAGCCTTTGGCTGCCAAGAACACTGCCTGTCATGACAGCCTTTGGCCGCGCAAACTACCCCAAATTTTCTGAGTGATTGTAGTTTGGCTTTTGGCTCTGCTCGGAGCGACGACTATGTGCATGGAAGCTCTACACGGTTGAAATAACTACATAAGCAAACCCTTCCGGCAGTAGATACAGTTACTTGTGATCAATTCATCGAGAAGATCTCCGGCACTTGCATTTAGCTGCGTCAATGAATGTACCGACTGTACCAATCTATAGCTTATGCCGGAGTAATCTCACTTTATCATGTGCCGTTCTAATACAGTAGTACATGAATTCGCTCCTCTGTGCTGAAGATTGACTTGAAAGGACGAAACCCTGCAGAGCGAGTCTCTTGAATGAAGTTGGATTTCTTATTCCTGTTGATAATACGCCCGTTTGGAGTTCTGAAAAATATAATGGACCGCGCGAAGCTGGTTCGACGATAACGGGTCGAACAACCTCGTTAGACGAAGCGATTAGCAAATTCATGAAGTAAACCTCATGGCCAAAGTCCCATCTCTTGGTTTCGACCTCTGCCATATTAATGGAAGGTACGATCATGCAAGAAGATGAGGAAGATCAAGAAACTGTGAATACAAGAACTAAAGGAAGACGAAGGAATGCTCAACCACACCGAAACTCTTATTGATTTTTCGCTTGATCTTTCCTTTGCATTTTTCGCAATATCTTTCAACATTATTCTTTCACTTTTATGTCTCGATCCGTTTCTTCGAAGGACTATTTTCCAATTTTCCGGTGTTTAAATGATGAAAAACTACACGATTTACGAAAAAAAAATTTCAAGAACTAAAAACATCGAATTTTGATGGGGAAACGACTTCCCATTTTGGAAGGAAGGAAATCACTTTATTTAAACAGTGCTAAACAAATGAAAATTAATAGCTTTCTTTGAAAAATGTTTTCATGAAAAATATTTTTATTTATCATAAAGCTTTCATTGAAACAAGGCACACCACTCGTAACGTATCTGGTTGGTCATACCGTTCGTGTCAATGCTTTTTTACCTTTAGCGAGTAGATTTATTCCATAAGCAAATTTGTATATTATTTTTGAGATTACTTGCCTGATAAAACATTAGTCCTTTATAACGACCTCCACGATTTGGCCCACTCAGCATCGCAGCCGTCCAACCTCCCTGTGCACTGTCGCCCTCCGGTGCTCGCCTCCGGTCCCTTAAACTACGAACCTCTCGCCGCCACCGCCACCGCCGCTAGGTCCATTCTCTCTCTCTCTCTCTCTCTCTCTCTCTCTCTCTCTCTCTCTCTCTACACCAAGCTCAGCATGTCGCAATCTAGGGGTTCCGATCACCGAAAACCCCAGGAGAAATCTCATACCGCCAGTGGCGCGTGCGGTTGAGAAATGGAGCGGGGCTTGTATTTTTTTTTTTTTGTTTTTGGGGTTTCTAGCTTCATTTTTGTTAGGGTTTTTTAGTGGCGTATCGACAGGGACTGTTGGAATTGGAGTGTGGCATGGAGTTGTTCGGGGCTACATTTTGAAGAAGTGTGGTGGAAGAAGGTATGGCGGAGCGCAAATGTAGTGGAGATGCTTTTGGGGGCAAGAGGGCATTGGACCGTGACGACGATGTTCGTTTCATATTATTTCGAACTGATGAGCAAGAGCGAGTGTTACGATCGGGAAAAAAATGGACTTGATGTGTAGGATGCTTTTGTTCAGATGCAGAGCGGCAAGAATAACCCTAAAAGTAGGTTGTGGAAGCATTTCTCTGAGACCAAGTGGGGAGTGTTCTCAGAGGGCTTTCGCATCGTGAATGCTAAATTCTAATTGAAAGCTGTGTACGGCGAGAGTCGATTTGAATGCCGTTGCCGCGATTTTCGTTGAATCAAACAATCAGTTTTTTGGCCTTTTCTTATTATATGTTGATTTTCTTTCGTGTTATTTCACAGCATATTGTCTGTTAATTGCTTCGCCGAGGCACCATTTCTCCGAGACTATGTTGAATTCTAATCCCCCAATACCCCTCCATCTCGTCTTTCTCTGCCCACTCTTTGGTTTGCACCTCTACATGTCACGAACCGGAGGTTTTCAAGGTGTAATGTTCACTAGTTGGGGTTGAACAAAGCACATGTTCATTTGTGACTCAAGAGGATCACCAGGACGGCCGCACGTGTTGTGGAATGGAAATGTGGATGCGGAGGTACAAGTCTTGGCATCGGATAGTGCTCATAGCAAGGCTAGTCCTAGTCCTAAACCCTGATAAGTCTTAAGCGGGTCTTTTGATAATTAGTACATAGATGTGCTGGTAGACAAAAATGACAGAAGAAATGCATTCAGATTAACGTTACCTCATGCTCCTATGGATTGCCAGAATCGTCTGCATCTGTGGCATCATCTAGAGAACTCAAATGCACTTTCAAACCCAGCCTAGGCCGCGGCGGGAGATTTTAAAGTAGTGTCGTATAATTGGGAGAAGAAAGGGCGGAGGGATGCACAAACTTTCATCTGGATATATTCAGACAATTCTTAGATAGTTGTCAATAATGGACCTAGAGAGTGAGGTATGCTGCTTCGGGTGGTCGAATAATAGGGATAGGTTGGCAAATGTTCGAGAATGAATCAATCGGGCAGTGGTGAACGTAGCATAGGAAAACCTCCTTCCCAAACGCTGAAATCTAGGCTCTTCCTACAGTGGGCTCCGAATGTAGCCCTCTGTCTTAACTTGCTCTGTTGAACCAACCAGGAGGAAAGAGGGGTCTGAAGAGTTATGGCAGGAACATGATGAGTGTCCAGGTTTAATAGCACAGCAATGGAGCGATACTACTAATTCTTCCAATGACATCTGTGATAAATTAAAAGAGTCTCCTCGGCACTGACATCCCGGAGTAGAAAAAGAAGTTCAAGAATGCTAGAAAGGAGATTGAAAGCTTACAATGACAGCTTTACTTAGTTGGTAAGCAACAGAGCAGACCGGCTTTATTGTGGAGGACGCAAGAGCTCTTATCGTGGAGGCCCAAGTCCGGTAGAAGAATTTCCAGTCTTTGAAGATATCAACACCTCTACCCTTTTGGGGTTGTTATGTTCTGAAGCTAGTACTTTGTTTTCTCATACTATTACTTAATGAAAGTTATGAAGTTTTTTCTATCAAAAAAAAAAAAACAGAGCAGACCAGCTTGATAGGAAGAGACCAAAATCTATTCGAGCAAGAATCAACCAGCTTCGGAGGCAAGAGGAGCAGTATTGGCGTTTGAGGTCTAGGGTTTGATAGCTGAAATTGAGCGATCACTATAGCAAACTCTTCCATGCTTAAGCTATCTAAATATTAAATTATGTCTTAAATTTGAGCTTATAGCACAAACACGCGCAAGTCCGGCCGAATGAACAAAGTCCAAGTTGGACTTTTGTGAGGTCTTCGATTTTGTTCGCTCATTAATCCTATCTCCATGCGTAGAAGGAAGAAGTCAAAGAAAGCACGCGGAGTCGGAGAAGATTGATTTGCTTCAGCCGAAAAAGAGGGCCTCCACAATCTAATCTTCGCATTAAATAAAGGGACCCATAAACTGGTGCACATAAATGAAGAAGATTAGGTCTCACATGGAAGCTCCTCATTTCAGCCGCAAGTGGAATTGAAGCATGTGACTTTGTCGTTTGTCTCCATCCCAAATAAATGAACAATAGACCTCACCACAAAAGAGGAGCCGAAGCTCGCACAAGGGTTCTCCACAGCACGTGGCGATGGGCTCTACGGACGTGTTTATTATTTTAACGTGTCGATATCTGCATACCTTGCACCCCTGCATATATAACGAATTTACCTTAAACTATTTTTTTATCACAAAAAATCCCAAACTAGTATACCTGTGACAAATTTAGCTCGAACTATTTTTTTGACCACCAAAAACCCCAAATTGGTACACTTGTGATAATTTTATCTCGAACTATTTTTTTGACCATCAAAAACCCCACACCAGTATACTTGTGACAATTTTACCTCCGAACTAAGTTTTTAACTACAAAAAATCCTAAATTGGTACATTTGTGATAAATTTACCCTCCGTTAATGTCCGTTAAATTGGATTAATATAATAGGGTTAATACCACGAAAAACCCTAAACTGGTACACTTGTGACAATTTTACCCCGAACTATTTTTTTGACCACCAAAGACCCCAAACTGGTACACTTGTGACAATTTTACCTCGAACTATTTTTTTGACCACAAAAAACCCCAAACTGATACACCTGCGACAATTTTACCCCGATCTAATTTTTTAATATTATTTTTTATTTTTTCGAATTTTTTTTATTTTTTCTTTTATTTT